GCAAGCAGAACTAAGTGCATGTGGGAGGTCCAATTGATAAAAAAGAAATTTTGTGGATGAATTGTCGGTTAATGACGATAGCAATGGTACACGAGCATTAGGATTGTATGTACAAAAGGGGAAAAAAAACTACGTACTTCGGCAAAAGACGCTGTAGATTCTCAATCGCAAGATGTCAAAGACATCTTGCATATTACCTCCCGTTCGTATTTTCAAAAAATTCTGTATGGACGCTATTGAAATATTTTTTGACTATCAAAGAGAAATAGTATACAGTGAACCTCTTCGTGGCAATCACCTTGCTAAAAGATCATTTCTGAAAGCCACCTTCATTCCTCAAAGTTCTAAGGACCACAATCAGACGGAATCAATCAATCTTTACAAAGTCACACACAATCAATCCACCACACAAGCTTTGCAGAGGACCATAATCAATGTTTACAGAGGACCACAATCAATGTTTACAGCGGGCCACAATCAATCTTTACAGAGGACCACAATCCGATGGAACCATTGGTAATTGTCCTAAAGACGTTTCACAGCACTAAATATGTAAATGAAATTTTACCACTCTCGACTACTCTCCGGGTTGGTACTCTACCAACTGAACTATCCGAGGCCATGGGATAATTTCTCTTAATTCACATAATTTGACTTTGCGTAACCTATGTGTGATCGGGTGTTCACATCAAACACATTATTGTTTCCTTAAAATGCAATGAACACTCTCGTAGCGATCACCTCACTCTGTCTCTAAAACAATGTTTCTGTTTACTTAAATGAAAGACGATATTGAATATGATCTCTCTAAGACGGAGATGGCCACTTCTAAGATCTCTCTAAGATGGATGAAAAATATAAAAAGTTGAAAAAAATGTTATATCTCGGATTACAGTACTTAATTAATATGTTTTTTGAATATGTAGTTTTTTTATCAAGTCATTTATATTAGGATTAGTTCTTGAAGATTCCATCAAAATTTGGTGTTTCAGGTGCATATTAGTTAATCTTGAATGACATTTTGATTATGTTCATAAAGAAAACATTCGTTCACAAACATATGCTGATCCAAACCTACAACGATATCTGACAGCCAAATCGTGTAAATTTAGAAAACTCCTTATTGGCACAAATTTCCAAAATTCACTATAATTTGGATCACTTGCAGTCGAAATAGATTCCTTATATTTGCTTTTCAGTGTAGTTTGCTGGTGCAGGTTAATAATGTGGACATGGATTTCAGTTGGGTAACAACTGATGTCTTGCAGAGAAGTTGAATTATTATATTATTTATTCTCATGTGTTTATGTGTGTATCTATCAACGGAGTAGACGATATTTATTATTTATTCAAATATTTTAATTTTTCAGTAAGTCTTCGCCTGCCACTGTTAAAACTCCGCCGTGCATTGGTTGCCATCCCTGCTCTACGATGACCACTTCCATAGAAGACCATGCAGTCATTCTGAACTGTTTGTGATAATTTCAGAAACCGTTTCACTTTTCAAACTGTTGTCACCAAATGTTAGAGTCCTGCATTATATTTAAAGAAATTAAATAATGAAAAATCTGCATAAATGTATTTCTATTTCTCGCATTGTGATAAAACAACGGTACATAGAGCCATCGAATTTTGAATGACGTAATCCTCCTACGAATATGGGCATGTGGAAGACCAAATTTGAAATTTGGAATTTGTTTTATGATCGATTTCATATTTTTTAAAACTTTAACGAATTTTTTATTAACACACTCAAGGATTTCAAAGCGAGCAATGGCAACTCTCTACGGGAGGGGGAACTTTTTTATCTCCAGCGCGCGGAACTGTGTATCGGAAATTCTAAAGAAAGGCTCATTTTAAAATTACTTTGCGACATTGCTATTAAACTGAATTTTACAGTTGAAGTGCAAAGAACATGATATTTAATAAATAAAGGTAACACACAAAACGTTAAAAAATTTAGGCGCAATTTAAAATGTGAAAACTTTCAGATTTTTTTTTTTTTTAATTTGTCGTCTGTTTCTTTTTATTATTATTATTATTATTATTATTATTATACAGTTTACCATACAACATAAGAATGGAATATCCAGTCCTCACCTCAGTGTTGAGGTATCACCGGAGCCATAGGCTAAAAAGATTTAACGAATCAGCAAAAGCTAAAAATAAGAATTAATTAATCAAATTTTTGAAAGTTAAGTCCTAGCAAATTTTGAGGTCCGCTAACTGAAAGATGTGTTGACCTCGCCAACATCTTTATTTACAAAAAGTGCAAAGATACAGAGATCAATTAATACATCAGTTAAATATATAAGATATAAACAATATACAAAAACCATTAGCAGAATGAAAATAAATGTAATTACAGTTGGAACATAATGCAGAGATAGGTACAATCAATAAGTACTATCATTCAATCTTATCAAAAGGTACAATTGAAGAATTGATAAAACATTTTCAAGCCATATTAATTATAAGTTATACATAGATTGAGTTTTCATTAGAATACAAGAATTCCATAAGTTTGGAAAGTAAAAGTCGACCTTTGTCTAATAAAATGAGTTTACATAATAAATCGAAAGTCAAAGTTTGTGGAAAGAGTTCTTTCCTTTTTCTGTCCAGACTCGGGCAGTTTAGTATCATATGTAAGGCGTCTGCTGTTTCTAGTCCACATATACAGCGACTGGGTGGAGTTTTGAGTTTAAATCTGTTGAAATAACTGGGAAAGGCTCCATGGTTTGAAAGAAGTTGATTGATAAAGAAATCATTGAAGTGTCGCTTTTCGGAGATTCTAGGAAGAATCTTGAAGGTTGATCTGCCAGTTTCTTCTTGCCATCGATGTTGCCACAGGAGAAGAGCTTGGTCTTTAGCTTTTCGTACTGAGTTGTACTGAGTACTTTTCGTATTCTGAGTTATATAACTCAGTGGGAGTTTGCAATCTATACGCACTTCAGAAGATATGCCTTTTTTGGCAAGTTCATCCGCTTTTTCATTACCTCTGTAGCCACGATGGCCTCTGATCCAATGTAGTTTGGCTTTAGTATAATAGACGAGCTTTTTAACTTCGATAATTTCTTGATTCAGGATATCAAATTTTGCCAGTGATTTCAATACTGCTTGACTGTCCGTGTATAGATGGGCTGTATGCTTGTGTTCTTTTAGCCATTGTAAAGCTAATTTCATCGCTTGGGTTTCTGCTTGATATACTGAACAATTTGGGTCCAGTTGAAAAGAATATTCTGTTTCTAAGGTGCCATTCCAGAATACACAGAATCCCGCTTCTGTGCCAACATCTGTTTTGGAGCCGTCCGTAAATAGTTCATAGCTTTTATTAGATGGAAGATGATCATTCCATTCGCAAGTCTTTATTGATGCTGGATGGGTAAACCATTTATGTTTGGGAAAGTCGAGGGCTTCTTTTGAGAAGTGGAGGTTTTCAAATGAAAAATCTTGACCAGCCTCTTTTGGTTCTTTTAATCGAAATTTCTTGATCCAATTTAATATCTAAAGGTATCAGGCCAGCTAATATCTGCAAAGCTGAGGTCGGAACAGTTTTGTAGCATTTGGTCATAGCTAATAAGGCTACTCTTTGAATAGTATTTGCTTTATTTCGCATTTTAACAGTTGGTGGAAACCACCATGCTGCACAGGCATACACTGCAGTCCTTTCTATGCCTCTTTTGTAGAGTTCTTTCATCACAGCTTTTGATAAACCAGGGAATTTCATAAGCCGATTAATGATCGTTGCAGACTTTAGTTTTAATGTAATCCAAATGTGGAAGCCAAGTCAGACATTCATCGATTATTATTCCTAAGTATTTGATTTGTTTGTGTCTTTTAATTGTAGTGCCATTCAGTTTTATTGTAGGGGCTGAATATGCTGCGCCCCTCTTTTTGACTGCTATGAACACTGAGCTAGACTTCTCCGGGGAGAAGCTGAGTTTGCTCTTCTTCGCCCATTCAGTTATTTGAATCAGGGCATTATTAGCTCTATTGTGAATTTGTTGGTGGGTCGCACCCGTAACGATAAATAGCACGTCATCTGCATATGCTTGTATTTGGACACCGTCTCCATAGTCTATCTGAAGTGCAGTGTTCATGATAATATTCCAGAACAGTGGTTCTGAATTTGATCCTTGAACACAGCCTTTTTCTTGAGTATGAATAAGAGAAGTGTTGTTTACTTCGCAAATAATTTGTCTATTCTCCAGCATTGATTATATTACTTTATATGGGTTGATAGGACATAGAAGATTTCTTAATTCTTGTAGAAGAAACGGCCACCAGATGTTGTTGAATGCACTTTTAATATCAAGAGATATTATATTCGTATAGCAATTATTTCTTCGGTTCTCTTCAACCGTATTAATTATATCTTTAATGGCGTCCATGGAGCAGACTCCAGCGGTAAAGCCATATTGCTTATTACTGAATTTATTGTTAGAAAACAGATAGTAGTTTAGTCTATTAGTTATCAGTTTGTCGTAGACTTTACTCCATGTGTTTAATAGACATATTGGTCTATACGCCTCTGGTAGTTCAGAGTTCTTGCCTTCTTTAGAGAAGAGAACAAGTTTAGCAGTTTTCCAACATTCGGGAAATATTCCGCGTCTGAGAAGTTCTTTAAATAGTTCAGTGTGTAGCATTGGGTTGGCATAGAATGCTTCTAAAATTATTTCTTTAGGTAAGTTGTCCAGGCCGGGAGCTTTACCTGAATTGCGTGATTTAATCGTAAATTCTACCTCCATTCTAGTGAACGGGAGATCCTTTTTAGCTCCATATCGGGTCTTGATTTGTGTCCTAATCAAATTATGCTCTGAGGTATCTGTGCTCCGGTCATCAGCTGGGAAGTGGTGTTCCAGCAGCAATTTTATAGTCTCGTCAATATTTTGGGTTTTAGAATTATCTGGTTTGAGAAACGCTTTGATTTGAAATGGCAAGGAAATACTTCCTTTCGCCATATCATAATGTATGCCAAATGGAGATTTCGGATCAATGCTTTATAGGTGATTTTTCCAACACGTTCTTTTGGAACGTAGTATTTCTCTTTTATATTTGGCTAAGTCTTTCTTATATATTTTCTTATAAATTGCTCTTAAGTTATCATCTTGAATGCAACGCTGATATCTTTTTCTTTCGGCTAGGATTCTTTTCCTCATAATTGTGAGGGATTGTGTCCACCAAGGGACCCCTTTGTGCTGAACGTTGAGAAATTTTCCCTTTGCTTTTATTGCCAAGTCGCAAATATCTTGGATCTTTTGAGTCCAAGTTTTTATTAAGGTGTTCAGATCAACGGTATCTTTTACATATTGAGGGTTAAAAGTGGAGAAATAACTTCCGAGCTTTTCCTTAAGCAACAGCCAATCCATTTTGTTCAGTTTATACATCCTTCGTATAATCTGATCTGTACTTTTGTCACGAGAGATTTCAAAAGAAACATAACAATGGTCACTAAGCGAGGGATCATCCAGGACTCGCCACTCACTGATTATATCTCCTTGACTTGCAGTTATGTCTATCCAGCTCTTTCCTCTGGAGCAGTTGTATGTTGGTGGACCATTTGGGTCGTTTGCAATAATAAATTGTCTTGACACCAGAAATTCTCGGACCATTCTACCTCTAGGGTCTTCAAATAGAGAACCCCATAGTTCACTTTTGACGTTGAGTTCACCCAGGATAATATTATCTGTATTGTCCGATAAATTTCTCTCGACTAAGTCTAAGAGAGAAGTTAAGTCTGTGAGGTCCGTGATTGGTGGGCTATAAAAGTTAAAGATCGTTAATGATCTTTGTCCGAATTTCAATTTTATTATATTCAATGTTGGAGTGGTCAGCGTGTTAAGAATAGTAAAATTAGGATTCACGACCACTATTGCCGTCTTGGGAAGTCCTTCAGTTTTTGAAATAACTTTAGTTTGTATTGGGAAACCAACTGGTTTGTTATCGATACAATATGGTTCTTGCACGAAGACCAAATCATAATCAAAGATGTGCAGTTTTAGTTGTGCGGTTGCAACATGAGATCTAGCTAGATTTATTTGAAGTGCTCTTATAAAATTCGTTTGATGTAGATTATCCATAATTGATGCGTTTCTTGAGTTCTTCTATTTCTAAAATTCGGCATGGACAATTTTTATCGAAGCTTGAGTGTCCTTCGTCATATTGCTGCTCGTTATTTGCATTGCGTTCTGTACAATTTATGCATTTAAGAATCGAATTGTCGCAATCTTTGTAGGAGTAGCCCACTTCACCACAATGACCACAGGCTTCTTCAGTCTGGCATTGCTTCAAGATGTGCCGAAATTGGCAGCATTTGAAACATTGGGTAGGTCTTAAGTATTCTTTTAGATTAAACCGTTCCCAATTAATGCAAACCTTTTTAACTTTGAGAAGTTGTTTGAATAAGTCTGGGGTGGCCTCACACACCCAGTGATTTTTATGCTTTTGCTTAATTGGGAATTTAACTTGTAAGCCATCACCGTCAAGTCCTTCATTTCGAGCCTTTAGGGCTATCAATAGCTCGTCTTTTGTGATGTCCTTTGGGATATCATAGATGACTATTCTAGGATACCGTTTTAATGGCCTTACTATTTGGAGCTCCTCCTTCAATTCTGGGACGGAGCTAATTTCTTTTTCTAGTATCTCTAGATCATTTTTCTTTATTCATTTCAATGAGTAGTCCTCCTTTTGAAACTTGCTTAACGCGTTTAACTCCGATGTGGAGTTTAGAAGGATCAATGGACTTTAACACTTTAACAGTTTTATTCCCTTCCTTTGTGGGATAAAAGATGTTAATGAATTGCTTCTCTGGTCTTTTTCTTGATCTAGAACGATCTCGTGTTAGGCGTTTTAAAACGTCCGAATATAAGTCCTTTTCTCGATTTTTATTTACTGAGGCTTGGAGTTGGCCTTCTAATTGGGCTATCTCAACGCATTGTTCCGTGAGTAAGTTGAATATCAGTTGGAACTGATGCCTAATATCTGCGGCCACATTTTTATTTAGTCCACTGGCCTTATTTTTAAGAATAGTTTCGAGGTTGGCTACATAAGCCTGACCTTCTTTAAGAATGTCTTTTGAATCCATGAGGATGGATAGATCACTATAAAATGCCAATAAAGTAAAGTTCAAAATGCTAGGGTGAAAACTGACTTGGTACCCTAGGGTTCACACCAAGTCAGTAAGTAGTAGGCTCGTAAAGCTCAGGATTTTGACCCTCTGAAAAGAGGGAGCCCCCCGACCACGCCAAGGTACCCGAGCTCCTGGGAAAGCACAAGAAACCGAGAATAAAGTGAACTATATTCGTAAAATTTACGATTTTATTCACTAATTATAGTAAAATCTCATTTTAATCGCATTTCTAATCGTATTTCCAATCGCTTTCCCCCGGGGGGTTTACCATACAACACAGCGCTAAGTGACGTAATATTCTAACCTTCATTTTCTAATGAAATTATTTTGTTGCTGTAAGATTAGAAAAATTCTGAAAATTTCAGGTTACAAGCTAAGGTTTCAAAGATTTTACCGATAAAGTTTTCAAAAAGCTAAAAAATATCAAATAATTTATAAAAGATAAACTCCTGAAAAAAATTGCAAATACGCAATTTTTAAAAATTTATGATATATATATATTTGCATTTAAAACTTTATTTACGGAATCCATCTTGACGCCTAAAGCCTTGTCTACACGAGAAGGCGTATCTCCGAGCAAGGCTCGTCTAAACCAGAGCTACATTTGTATCGAAGTTGCTCCGAACTTACGCAGCCAAGCAGAGTAATCAAAGCAGCTGACGTGTTTTGAATCCAATAGGAGGCCTTAGTTGGTTTACTTCTGTTTTACATGTTTTTGTACTCGATTCATTAAAATTTTAGACTTCTATTGGATTTTTAAGCTTTTTTGCTTGTTTATGAATTTTTACTTTCTCATCCGGCCTGTATATTTTTTATTTATTTATTTTAGTTCATTTTTATTTATATTTTTATTATTATTATTATTTTCCCAGTTTTGAATTAAAGCATTTGCATATGCTTTTGTTTATTTAACTGTTAGATTATTATTTTTGCAAGTTTTGTTTAGGACTCGATGTATTCATTTTTTAAAATTTGTCTATTATTTCGCAATCGATCTGAATTTGTCTATTTTTTTATGTTACAAGTTTTGCACTGCTTACTTCGGACTGTAGGGGTTGGACTGATAAAGATATAAGTTACTTTGATTGTTTTTTTATAAAGTTACTGTTTCTAAAAGAATATTTTTGTATTTTAAATTTAAATTTGTCTTGTCAGTTCAGGAACAAGCTATTTTATTTATTTACTTCTTTTTTTTTCCATCAACACCCTGATGACGATGCAGCAAAACATGTAATTATAATTTTTTATTTCTGGTTTTGGTATGTTTTACCTTCCTATTACTTTAGGTTTGCTACTGCGCTTTCTTTCTTTCTTTCTTTCTTTTTTTTTTTTTCCATATACTGTTTATTCCGAATTGAATAGGGGATGGATTTGAAGCCTATTTATTTATTTATTTTATTTTATATACCACACATATACATGTGTGTGTGTACGTGCGTATGCGAGCGCCAAGCGATCGAGCTAGCTAAACCTAGTCTAAAAAAAAAGATAAAAATCATTAACAATAGAAAATCGTAAATGTAATCAAATACAAAAAGATGAAAAATTAAGCTTTCCCTGTTTGTCAAGCTTTTCAGAATCTTAGAATATAGTCTCCCCTTAAACAGGAAAAAATATTCTAGCAGATTTAGTTAATCCTAGCAAATGAGGTAAAAAAATAATGTACCGCTCTATAGCTTCGAATAGCAAAACATTTGTATCAAGGTGGAAAAATATTCTATTTATAGAGAAATGAATCGAAAATTATGATCTGAAATATAAATATTGCATAAAAAATTATGAAGTTTTGTAGAATAGTAACAAAAATTCCAAACATTTGGCAGCATATTTCGAGTTTTAACGAACGGTTTCCCGTCACCTCAAATATCCCCTGCGCAAACGGTTCGCTTTGGCGCCTTTAATCATACTTTGTCAAACGATTTTTGGCATTTTAAAGAAAGAACACTGTCTTAGAACTATCATTTACTTCCAGTTCTGTTGCAAAACATTAGCAACAGAATGTCACCAAATCGTGTGTACATCTTTAGTTACTAATGTTGTATCATATGACACTGTGAAGGTTTGGTACCGAAAGTTCAAAATCAAGGACTATGATATTCAAGAAGCAAAGCGCTCTGGCCAGCTTACTGATGTTGATGAGGCCCGGCTGTGAGAACTTGTGGACGAAGATCACTATGCAACCACACGAGAGCTTGCTAAGGACTTGGACGTTAGTGCTATGTCCATTGGTCGCGCTATGCATTGTATAAACTTGTACAAGTTCAATCGCTGGGTGCCGCGTGAGCGGACTCAAGCAGATAAGGGAAGACGTGTTCGAGCCTGCACTGATCTGCACGGATATCAACGCAGGTACAAAATTCTGGACCGGATCTTCACTTGTGATGATACAAGTGGAATAACTTCACAGCACAGGCCGAAAAGGAGGTTGGTCTGCTCCCGGTAACCCCGTCGGCAGCGTCGCAAAGCACAATTTGACTAACAAGAGTTCTGGTGCTTTGTATCTGGGGAAATTGCCGTGGTATTTTCCACAAAGAGCATCTAGAAAAAGGTAAACCCTGAACAGAAAGGTGTACAGCGAGATGCTAGTCCGCGATGCACCTGGTATCACGGAAAAACGTCGAACTGAGTTCCGGCGCAAAAAGGTAATGTTCCATTAAGATAATGCAAGACTACACGGGTCTGCATTCACTGACTGGACTCTGACGGACTCGAATGGAATCTTTTGCCACACCCACCATATAGCCCCGACATCGCCTCTTCAGACTTCTACCTTTTTTCACACCTGCAGCTACATCTTGCTGGTGTTATCTTCTATTCTGCATAGGACGTCTGAAATGAGGCTGATCTGTTTTTAGACTCGCGGCCCCAAGTTTCTGGGTCGAAGACTTTTAAAAACTACCAAAACTTTGGCAGAAAACCATAGATTTGGGTGGTTATTACTACCCGCACTAAAGATACTGCTTTCATGTTCTTTTTCTAACTTCATTAAGAACGTTTTTTGGCGGAAAGCTTTTGTTACAACCAGATTATTATTCAATAAGCTAAATGTTAATTCAGAAGTTGTCATTGCTTTGCGGTCAAAGTGATTTCCATATACAATTTCATTGACTGCCTCCACATATGTCTGCGGCAACACCGCATTTCCCTGACATGTCAGATATGTTTCCTTGTGCAGACGAACTGGCGCACGCCGCAGACGTTCAGAGATATTTGTTCGGAAATAATCTCCTCATGGTGACGGGCCTTAAAACAGTATTAAGCTGAAGATACATAGTGTACTAGTTTAAAAAGTAATTTCCCTGGAATTCAAGACATAATGTAGAAAACTGTATGTTTTAAATGTGCTAGAAAAGTAACAATGCAAAATGAACAGAAAAAAAGAATGCTGTGACGTTATTTTATTGTGAATTAATACCAAGAGGAGATTTTGGGTGTAATTTAATAAAGAAAAAATACTTAATTATTCAAAACGCAGTGTGTATTTATTTCCCTGGACTACTTGCGCACGAGGCTTGAAAGAAAATTTTTTCTTAAATGGCGGTGTTTTCCATTTTGCTTCGGTGTCAAATCCGCTTACTGAAAATTAGAAACACCTCAAAGAGGTTTATTTCGAAATTTAAAAAGTTAACATTTTGTGGATTACCTTTATTTATTAAATATCATGTTCTTCGCACTTTAACCATAAAATTCAGTTCAAAAGCAATATCGCAAAATAATTTTAAATTGAGCATATCCTTAGAATTTTCGATTCACAATCTCCCGCGCTGAAGGAAAAAAAAAAAAAAAAAATTTTACAGTGTTGCCATTGCTCGCTTTGAAATCGTGGAGTTTGTTAATCAAAAATACTTCAAAGTGTTCCAAATTAAGAGAGTCCAGATGTCCACATATCTGGTAGAGGATTACGTTATTTAAAATTTGATGGCTCTAGGTACCGCTGTTTTATCACAATGC